ATCCTGCCTCTGAGTAATGACCCCACAGCCAGGATTTTAAATCATCTCGGCCTCTGTCTTAATATCCTGCCCTCATTAAGGGCTTTTAAAAACATTTTGGCTTTGGTAAAGCTTTGCCCTCAGCTCCTGAAACTTGGAATAGCTGAGCTTTCGTTCTCATCCAAGGCTTAGCACCCAAGGACCTGTCAGTCAGGTGAGGGAGACTCTCTGGTGTCTCGAGCTGATTTTATGGATTTATGCAGTTCTCTCCCAGCACTGGAGTCACAGCCGGATTTCTAAATGCCAAAATAGAGATTATAAGAGCGTCAAGCTTCATTTTGTTTTCAGTTCACAGCTAATTAGCATTGATTTTCATGCCGTTTTTCCTGCATAGTATTCCACCGACATCACGGCACGGGAGAGGCTCGTTCTCACCCTGCCACCATCAATTTTAAACCCTCCTTGGAACAGAAGGACTTTGGGGTTTGGGTTTGGCAGCCAAAGCTCCGTCCCTTGGCAGGGTCTGAGCCACACGTGGCAGTCGAGCTCCTTGAAGCTGATTTTTCCCGAAGTGAGAATTCCCTGGGCAGGCAGTGCGGTCTGCGATTTGAAGTCCTAACGGGAAAGCAGCGGGAGCTCCTTTTCCAACATCTGCAGAACGTTAGGGATCGGGAATGATCCCTTTGCGGGCACTTGTGACCTCGCTGCTTCTCTGCTGTCGAACAGGCCAGCTCAGCTCAGGCATCTCACAAGACAGAGGTGAGAAGAGAAATCATCTCTTTTTGTCCGTTAAGAAGTTGAATTTGACATTGGAAGAGAGAACAAATGGGTCTGGGTTCAGGAGAATAGCGGCCCTAAATGAGGCCCTGAACGAGGTGGAGATTCCAAGCTGGCCCCAAAGAGGTGCAGCTGCTTGTTAAGGTGACAAAATCACTCCTGGGTTCTGGAACAACAACAAAAAATTAGAAATCAGGTGTGATCATGGAATTAATGCCCATCCTCACGTATTCCCGAGGGAGCCGCCACACAGGAAACACGCATTTCCTAATCTGCAAATGTCTGACCTTAAACCTCGATAATGTTCTTTTAATGTGTGTTTAGCTGCACACCAGCAGCGCAGAGGAGGGGTGGGATGTGTAAAATCCATGTTTTATGTATATTATTCAATATTTTCCATGGATGCTTTAGTGGTTGGCATTGCGGGGAGAGAGATCTGGAGAGCAATTTTAGATTTAAATCATCGAGCAGTTTTTCTGAAACTAAAAGCACTTGTTCTCAGCTGGTTTATTACAGTCATAGAAAGCGCTCAGGGAGATTATTTGCGAGGGGAGAAAAATGTATTTTGATATTCCCATGAAATCTTAGATGGGATCAGGAGTCATTACCACGCCAATCCCAAATTGTGAGTGTGTTATTAATATACACATCATGGTTTCTGGGATGGAAAGAGGAGAAACTGTGAAAGGCTCTGATCAGATCTGGAGAAAAATGAGGAATTTGAATGAAGCAAAGCACGAAACTCGGCCCTACAAATCAAAAATCCAGACTGCGTGTGAAAAATGCTGGTGGAAGCATCAACCCCTGCTGCGTTATCCCCGTAGTTATCCCTGAGAGATGGGAAAAGGCATTAAACTTAAGGGTTTGACATGAATAATGGGTTTATGGGGATTAACGGATCTGGAGCAGCTTCCCCAAGGAATTCCAACAAGCTGGTGGCTTCCAAGGGTTGTCCCGAGTGCCCAAAGCACCCGAAATCCCTGGGGATGGGCTGGGTGATGTTGGCAGTGAACAAATGATGGAGAGATGGGATCACCAGGAGCTGCTGATGGAAGCTCTCTGCTGACGATGAGTAAGGACTCCTTGTGCATTAAAGTTCCCACATTCCAAGCATAGCTGGATGCAGGTGGATTTTCCACGGGAGCTGTGTGAGGGAGATGTCTCCTCCAGGACCCCGGAGGAGACCAGTTCCTCCTCTGAGGAATCCCAAACCAGCAAGGAACGGGCAGCATCAGCACAGGCTTTGGTCCATCTTGTGTCCATCTGTGTGGAGGTGCCCGATGGATTGATCAGGAGCAGATGTTCACACCCAGCTCCTACTCAGGATGAACAAAGAGTTCTTTCAACCCCATCTTCTCTCCTTAGGTCCAATGTATTCCTCGGCTGGTGCGTTGGACTCCCAAAGAACTGGAGCTGAAACTCCAGAGCTCGATCCCACCTTCCTCTGCCCATGAGGCTGCCTCGTGATCCAGTGTGGAGCACAGGGAAAGGCAGAAAAATCAGGATTTTCTGCCCTTTGGAGAACACCTGAGAGCATTTACATAATTTTATTTTTCCAGATTTATCTCCTGTTCCAATATTGAACAAAAGGGGGAAACCCAGCTTCCTGTGAGCATTAATTTTCTTCATTGCTTATTCCTCCCATTCCACCATTTTTCTAAAGGGCTGGTGGACAGCAGGGATGGATGGAGACTGCAGAGGAGCAGCTTTTAATTTAAAAACATAAAAAAGAGATGGAAATCTGTCTGCTCCAGGGCCTTACAAATAAAGCACACAGAGCAAATTTTAGTGCTTTGCACATTGTTTCCAAACAGAAACCAATTCTTGGGAAATGAGTAATTTGACCAGTGAAAGACGTGACGTGTCGGAACAAACCCCAAAAATATCAGCACTGAATTTTGAAATGTCATGTTTGGGATTCTCTCATGTGAGTCAGGGCAGCATCTCCCCATGGTCAAACAGGCACGAGCCAATATCCTTTTTCCAGGATGTTGTTTTAAAACTTGATGAATTGCTCACGTTTCAGCCCAGAACTGACGCGGCGCGGGTTCGTGACCCGGATGACTCAAGAGATAAGGCCAAGGCCGCACCTTCAGGGAGGCCACCCCTGTGTCCGGCTGCTCCAGGCAAAGGCAGGAAGGGAGGTTGGAGGCAGGAGGGGAGGCAGGCTCTGCTCCAGCCCCTTTTCCAGGGATCCGGCTGCCGTACGGAGCCGTATGGGAAAGGAGAGGAGCTCTTGAGGGAGATGAGTGCTACGAGCGGCTCACAAACCATCCCTTGTTCAGAGCTCTCCTTTCAGGAGCGATGCTCAATCCTCTGCTGAACCTCAGCCAGCTTTGCTTGGGGCTGTGTCCAGGAAGAGAAAAAATAGGAGGATGCTGATGGTTGGGAGGCACTGATCTCTGCTCTTTGGGACAGGGACTGGAGCGAGGGAATGGCTGGAGATGTGTCCGGGCATGTCCAGGGTGGCTGTCAGGGCAAGGGTTCTTCCCCCAGAGGTGCCCCAGGGAATGAGCACATTCCCAAGGCTGCCAGAGCTCCAGGAGCATTTGGACAGCGCTGCCAGGGATGCCCAGGGTGGGATTTTGGGGTGTCTGGGCAGGGCCAGGAGTTGGATGCATGATCCCTGTGGTACCTTCCCACTCAGAGTATTCCACGATTCTGTGTTCCTGTGATGTGCCGACACACTCCTTGTGACCAGGCTTTGAGGGAAAAGCCCCTTTTCCCACCATCACAAGCACCATCCCTTCTCATCTCTCTTCATCCCTTCTCATCTCTCCTCATCCCTTCTCAGCTCTTCTCATCCCTTCTCAGCTCTCCTCATCATTTTTCAGCCCTGACTTTTCATCCCTCTCACCCCCTGCTCTCCTCAGCTCTCCCCAGCATCTCTCATCCCAGCCCGAGGCACTGGGCACCCCCTGAGGGACCCCAGACCACCTCTGGAGGCCGCACAGCCCCAGATCCCGCGGTTCCCCTTCACACCGCTGACATTTACAGATAAAATCCATCAATAAACGCCACAACCTCCTCCTTTATCGCCCTCATCGCTCTGAGGGCGCCGGGCCCCCCCTCAGTGCCGCCCTCC